TCCAAAGAGCTCAGAATTTGCATCCCAATGGGATATGTTTCTCATGCCTTTGGGCTACATCGGGATAAATGATAAATGACATTTTCCTCTTGTTTTATTATTTTTTAAAAAATCATTTCCAGCACCCACAACCCTCATCCATCTGCCTGAAACAAAAATAATTGCAGTTGGAAAGGGTGTCCACCAGCAAAGCTGGGGGAGGGGCGTGGGGGAGAGGGTGGGGGGAAGAGGTTTAAAGGGAGGTGTGGAGAGCTCTGATTTTCCACATACATATTTTAGTAGGAGTGTTTTTTTCCCAGGAAACTCATACATATTCATAAGGGAGAACAGGGAGCATATGCAGCTAAGGAACATACAAAGAACATTTATTACAAGTACAGAAAATGGAGAAGCACCATCTTGTGGCTATGTATTTCAGTATGGGTATAAGCCCTCCCATTGATCATCGATTTGCTCGAGCGGGCCCAGTAACGTCTCCATTGGAGACTTTGTTGTTACTGTGTCTGGCATATCGTATACTCTCGGTAGCTTGCCGGGCTCTCTGAGAGGGGCGGAGGAATCGAACTCGGGTCGGCCATGTTGGCTGCGTGCAAGGCGAACGCCCTACCACTGTGCTATCGCTCCAGCCCATGGATACTAAAATATACAGCCCCAAGATGATGCCTCTCCGTGAAGACCAATAAGGCTAAGTCAAAATGGTTTCTATTCAGTCTCAGCTGACTGGTACTGTCCAACCAAGAACCTAGAATCTTTAGCTGTACAAAAATGCTTTTAAAGTTCTGCCTGGCCATATCAGAGCAAAGAATATTGATTCCCAGAGAGAGATTGTTATACCCTCCAAACTATAAACCTCAGGCCAGTCTGTTTTAGCTTTATTTAATCCCAGCAGAGAGGAGGGGAGTGGAGGAAGGAGGGAGGGAGAAGGGAGGAAGTCATACAGTTTTTGCAGTTGGAAGGCAATGAATAATAAAAAAATGTAGTAACTTTCTTACTAACATAATTTAAAAGTAATTATAATCACAGATGTTAAGAAAAGACCCAATTTGCTTTGCTGTTTGTTCATGGGAAGCACACGCTGGGCAAAGAAGTCAGTGCTTATCTCTCTGCAGATTCAGGCTCTTGTCCTTAAAAGAGGAGGGCTCAGTTTACCTTAGCCAGTTGTTGGGAGCAGCCCCCCTCCTTTTCTGATAAACAGGGAGTTAGCAATTATCCATTATAAAATTCTTTCTCAGAGCTTAGGCTCACAGGGAGACTAAGTTCATGGGAATTACCTAAGGCAAATGGCCAGACAAGGATCTGTTAGATCCTGGCATCCTCTGTAACACTTGCCAAGAGCCCAATTTTTATTTAAAAAGATCTATAAGAAAACCCTTATCTTTAATTTCCCTGCATTCCCTGTAATACAAAGAGTCATAGATAGATAACGTAGTCCAATACAAAGTTCATTTGGGGATCTCCTTCTCTCTCTCTCTCTCTCTCTCTCTCTCTCTCTCTCTCTCTCTCTCTTCTATTTTCCAATAAACTTTTCTATTTTCTAACTCTGCTTTTGAGCCTCTTTATTCAATATTTTCATTCTAAAAAATATTGAAGAACCTGAGACTGGCGAATGAACACAGAGACCCATCACCACCACTTCTGCCTCACCTGCATCATCCTCATGTTGCAGGAATTTCCAGAGAAGATAAATAGCGATGTGACTGCAGTAAGACTAGACAACTCTTTTTCAGACCATTTGTTATTTTTGGACTGGAGCAATAGCACAGCGGGTAGGGCGTTTGCCTTGTACGTGGCTGACCTGGGTTCGATTCCTCTCAGAGAATCCGGCAAGCTACTGAGAGTATCCTGTCCTCAAGGCAGAGCCTGGCAAGCTCCCCATGGTGTATTTGATATGCCAAAAACAGTAGCAACAAGTCTCACAATGGAGACGTTACTGGTGCCTGCTCAAGCAAATCAATGAACAAAGGGGGGACGGTGCAGACAGACTTTTCTTAATATTAGAAATAAAGTCAGCAGTGGTCCAGTTTCAAGACAAAGAATTTTACTATAAATATTTGGAAAGTGACCGCCAGGGATTAATTACCATAGTGGGGTGATAACAACAAGTCTCACAATGGAGACGTTACTGGTGTCTGCTTGAGCAAATCTAAGAACAATGGGAGGACAGTACTTACAGTGCTTATATTGGGTTGATAAACTGGGAATTAGATGCAATTTGAATGCAGGCACATGGAGCTGATGAGACAAAAGTGTAATGACAAATAAGAAGCTGTATGTAATGCAAATTATGAAACTGTAATGAGAATTGAGAAAATGTGATGGGGACCAGGAAACTGAAACTGACCACGTAAGTCATGTTAAAACTTATTCATACTGTGATCTTTGAATGTTAAATAAAGGCCTAGCATTTGTGGTGCTAATTTTTTTTTTAATTTTTATTAGTGAGACATCATGAGGTACAGTTGTAGACTTACACATTTTTGTGCTTGGATTTCAATTATACAATGATCAAATACCCATCCTTCCACCAGTGCCCATTTCCTACCACCATGGATCTCAGTATCCCTCGCTCATTTGTTTTTTAAGGCCAAACATTTGTGGTCCAAAATATGTGGACCATCATTTCCAAGTTAGTTTTAAGATTTTTTTTTAAAGACCATTTTTTTTGAGAACTCTCTCTGGTGCGAGGGCCCTGGGGTGTCAGTTGGGGTCAAGGCACTATTGTGTCACCTATTTTTACTGGTTCTACAACAATAGCCTGACTCTAAAAAGCTGTTTAAAGGGCTCTCTATATCTTCTTTTGAAGTACTTAAATTTTATTTCATGCTATAAATGAAAAATATCACTAAATCATTTTTGATATATACTCATTGGAGACTGAGTCAAAAACTGGCTATTTGCCATATCAAACATGTCTTTTTTGTTGTTGTTCTAGACTAAAAACTTTGAAGTTAAAAGACATTAATTTACCTTTTAGAAATGTGTTCATTGAGTTTAAAAAAAATAGACACTTTTTAAATACCAGGCACTGTCCTGAATGCTTGAGAAACACATTTAATCCGTACAATAACTCTGTAGTTGTAAGAACACACAGACAGTGAGTGGCAGCATTTTCAGTCAGGTCTTAGATTAAGTGGCACTAAGAAACTGCTTATGACCTGTCACAAATGTCAACATCACAAAGCTTTGTCAATTATTAAAGCATAAGCCATATTTTCTGTCCCCAAATGAATTTTGTCTACAGGGCAGTGGGGATGAGCATTTTGCCTCGGGATAAACATTCTAGACTCACAATCCATACTAGATTTTTCTTACCACAACTACAACAATAAAAGGATAATTTGGTGAAGGATGTTTTAGCTAATCTTATTGGCATAAACATTTTGCAATATACATGCACATAAAATCATCATATCATACACCTTAAAACCACACATTATTGTATGTCAATTATATCTCGATAAGTGTATGGGACCAAGCAAAGAAAAGAGTGTACAACTTTTCAATCTAGGCTCTAGTTACTGTTTTGGGAAACATCCCATATATGTCCATAGGCAAGAAAAAGAATAGTAAAGATCTTCCTGGATTCTTCCTCTCCTGTCAGTCAATGGTCTGTCAATTTACATTCCTCTTAAGTTGTAAGATACATTTAAAATTTCATGTGGGTAGCTATAGCTCCCAGGGACTGAGACACATTCTTTTGAGTGAAGGTCTGATCACAGAGTAATCCAAAATCCTAGCTGATGAATGGCACCGGGGTAAAGCTGAAAGGTATTGAGAAATTTTCCCCCTGCAATTCCTTGGAGGTGATTTCTCCGTGTCAGCATCATCACGCCTCTACCAGAGCCCTAGCAGATCAGCTGCCTGCTGTTCTAAGGTGCCTCCCCTAAACAGTAGATAGCATATTTTAGCCATGTTAATAGAAAATAAGAAACTCCACCGTTTCGCTTCATAGTCTTAGCAACAATGTCAAGGTATATTAGGAAAAACACTTCTTGTGACATGATTCTTTATTACACATGCACAAGAAAAATAAGCATAAAAAAAGTTCCAGAAATAAAAATCTCAGAGGCAAAATCATCTTCTCTGGCAGGAAGGACATATAAGGGTAAAAAAAAATAGGAAAAATGGAAGCCAGTCTTAGAGGTTATTAATAGTCCCAAACCTAGCTGGTTTGCAAAAATACACTATCTTTCCCACACAAGTAAATGAATTGCTGGCCCATCTAAGGCATAAGCGTTCCATCAAATTATGTGCTGTGTAAATGTATCTCCACAGAATCCACACACAAGAAAAGATCAAGACCTGACCCATTCACATGGAGACTTTTCAGGGGATCTTTGAAGGATCAAGAATAGGATCTCGACAATACTCTCAAAATTCCTAAATGCTTAATCTTTTCTTCTTTCTTTCCAAATTGCAGTTCACTTTTGGAACGTTTTGGCTTGGTTTTTTTTTTTTTTTAACAAGTTTGGCTTTCTACTCCTCATTAGCATTATCAGGAGCTGTTATCTCAGATGGCTATGCTGAGATTTTGATGATGAACAGCAGAACACTTTTCTATCTGAGATGCAACAAGTAAGTAAGTAAGTAAGTAAAGGCCCTCCCCGTTGATCAACGATTTGCTCGAGCGGGCCCAGTAACGTCTCCATTGGAGACTTTGTTGTTACTGTGTCTGGCATATCGAATACGTCACGGGGATCTTGCCAGGCCCTGCCGTTCAGGCGAGATACTCTCGGTAGCTTGCCGGGCTCTCCGAGAGGGGCGGAGGAATCGAACTCGGGATGCAACAAAGAGGTCTTTAATGAGATCATGAGTGAGCCACCAACAATGCAATCATTAGTCAAAACAAAATTCTACTTAATTGGCTAAAAGATAAACAAAAAATCATGAGCATCTGGCCAGGGTATATAAAGGGCTCAGGAGTGGGGAGGAAGATATTCACTCCTGAAAACACCCAACAACTCACACCAGACCCACCCATCCAGCCCCACACCACCACCATGACCGGCTCCTGCTGTGGTTCCAGCTGTGGCTCCTGCTGCGGCTCTTGCTGCGCTCCCAGCTGCGGGGGAGGCTGCTGCCAGCCCTGCTGCCAGCCCTGCTGCTGCCGCGACCCCTGCTGCTGCCGCCCCGTGTCCTGCCAGACCACCGTGTGCCGCCCCGTCACCTGCGTGCCCCACTGCACGCGCCCCATCTGCGAGCCATGCCGCCGCCCCGTCTGCTGTGACCCGTGCTCCCTGCAGGCCGGCTGCTGCCGCCCCATCACCTGCTGCCCCACGTCGTGCACGGCCGTGGTGTGCCGGCCCTGCTGCTGGGCCTCCACGTGCTGCCAGCCCATCTCGGTGCAGGCGCCCTGCTGCCGCCCGCCCTTCTGCCAGCCGGCCCCCTGCCGCACCACCTGCAGGACCTCAGAGCCCTGCTGCTGCTGCTGCTGAGCAGTTTGCACTGACTGGACTGTCTGAGCACATAAACAGCCTCCTGTACAAGCCGCTTCCCCCTTGCTCTAACAGGCGTCCCGCCCGAGAGAGCCATCAAGACCCCAAGTCTATCAGGATACTAAATGGAGATGGAGAACTCACCCAAGACCTGGGTCACTCGACACCATGAAACAATAGCATTCTTCTTCCCATCTTAGGTCCTGGGTGTGATGCCATGCTTGCTTTCCAATAAACTCTTCCTTGACCCAGCAAATCCAACTTTCTTTGACTATTCATTCCGAGTTCATTGTATTTGACCAGAGTGAAAACATGCCACCAACCTATCATCTGCGAGCCATGCCATACACAGTATGAAAGACGATAAATGTTAGCACCAAGTGAAAAGCACTCTTTTTCGACGTCTTCTAGGGAGAGGAATAATTTTCCTAAGAACTCAAGTAAAAAATCAGGATATTCAAAAATCAAAACAAGACACACTGTGCTGGGTGACAATGGGAAAGAGAAGGCAAAATGAGGAAAGCAAGAACGCCTGAAGGTTGGCACTAGTGTTAGATGAAGGGGCAGAAGTCAGTGTGTCGAGGGGAGACCATGGGATGTTCAACCACAAAAGCTCTGCCGAAGGCTATTGGGAGAAGGTGTTCAAAAGATGGTGTTGCTGTAGCACATGGGTACAATAAAGAAGGGCAAATTTGGAAATATTGGGGCCTTGATCCAGAGACACACAAAAGAATCTTGGAACCGAGCAGCTTGCTGTTGAGATTTCTCTAGACCCTAATTCTCTAAGGTTTTGGACTTCTAGGAGCTTGAGGCCACTCTTTCAGCCACACGACATCCTATGTTATTCATAGCAGGGAAGACAAATAGATTATCTAGCACCTGCCTGTTCAGCAGGTTTGAGTGGTGGTAGGAAATTCAGAATAATGGTGGTGGGAAGGTGTGATGGTGGTGGGACTGGTGTCAAAATATTGAATGTAATCCATTATTGTGAACTATTTTTTGAAAATAAAATTTAAAAAAAAGAAATAAATCAAAAGGCCAGTGCACAGGTCCAGGGATACTCAGAGCTTAACTTGATAATGCCCAGGGATGGTCAAGGCTGATGTGGAAGACATATAAACACAGACAGAGGCATTAACCAACATTAATGGGGTTGGGGGGCACAGAAAGCTTTCACACATGTTATACTTACTATTGTGTGTTTAAAATCATGATTTCAAAGTGCAATTTGCCCATTACTAATATTTCTATCATTAAGCTATCATAAAATGTATTTTTAAATGAGAGACAAAATTGTGCACTTTACTAACTCACTTTGGGAATCAGCTAGAATAAATGATATAACCTGGCTAGGAATGAGGGCCACAGGTTTTATGTCTAATTCTCCCCACTATGCACTGAAGTAAGTACATCTCTAGCCTCTCCTTTCAGCAGAATCTTTAAGCGTTGTGCATAATAGATTTAATAAATGGGGGATATAAAAATATTGGTCTCTACCCTTATAAATATTAAATGGTTGAAAAGATGTCATATAAAGTTTTTGATCTCTCCTAGTCTGTGGTTCTGTCTAACCATCCTTCAACCTCATGCAATCATGGTTATCAGAGGACATAAGCATTTTTATTGATAATGACACATTTTACATTTTAGAGTAATTCTATCATTCTACAAACCAATACCTCCAACTTGTAAAAGTTAAGTATGTGCTTCTCTTCACTATTGGAAGGGAGGCGGTGAAAGCTACCACAAACAATAACAATACATTCTTTTGGCTATCACATTTTTTCAGCCCCCTGTCAAGCCCTAAATGTACAGAAAATCACAGCCTTTCTTTTAGCATCTACAAGAACTGTTTTCATTTTAATTTTGCTAAAATTTATTTTCATCTCTTTGCATTCATACTAGTTGAATAATTCTTGATTATCTATTTCCTATCTTGTCTCATAAATTCTGTGATTCAGGTAACTATTTCCTAACTGCTGCTTTTCTGTCTTTGGTTCCCCTTCATACATTTTATTTATTGTGCTATCGGTTTGATATGCTTTCTTAGCCTACCTGTTATAAAATGACATAAGTTGAAGAGAAAATCCCATTTTGAGGAATAAGTATTGTCGAGATAATTCATACTGCAGTACTTTTTATAAAATTTTGGTGTGATATCCTAATTTTAGGAAATAAATTTTAATCCTTTTATTTTCATGCTACTCATAATAATTAGAATAAAACAGGTATTTTTCTCTAACATATGTGTTCTTAAGTAATAAACATGTCTCCAAGTCCTACTAAATGAAGTTGAGGAGAAACCAGAGAAACTGGAGAGTTTGACTTTCTGGAAAGCTCTGTAAGTGTCTGTGAGTTTATTCATTTCTACCTGATTTATCAAACATAATAATCTGGGAGCTGAAGAGATAGTATAGTGGATAGGGTACTTGCCTTGTACACAGCCAACCTGGGTTATATACCTGGTACCCTATATGGTTCCCCGAACCTGTCAGGAGTGTTTTGTGAGCACAGAGCCTCAAACACTGCCAGATATTGCCCCCAAACAGAAAAACAAAGATGATAATATTATTAATATAAAGAACATGGAGATAGACTTATATGAGCATTGACTGGTAGTTTTTAAATATTTTTTTTCCTGGGAATGTGGTGACGTTTGGTGACCCCCAAACTGCATTGCTTGATGAGTGGGAGTCACTTTGTCAGGTGACTTAACCACAAGTGCAGAAACAAGGTTGGGACTCTGGAGGGAAGTGACAGCATTGTTCAGAAATGAAGCATTACCATTTCCACCAAGGACAAACACATTTGATGAGTACTATCAGAGCAATCAGGAATGACCAATTTGGAGACCAATTTGGGGATATATTAAATATAATTCAGCATTCTAACAATCAAAGGGCATTGAAAACGCTTGTTTAAAGAGTAACAAGATAAAAATGCTACTCATCATCATGGCACAGAGCAGGCTGGGGCCTATAAAAGGCCCGAGGTAGAGCAAGAAGCTAGTCCTAACTCAGAAACTCCTCCAAGCAACTCAGCTCCCAGCCCAACTCCTGACACCATGGCCTGCTGCACCACTAGCTTCTGTGGATTCCCCAGCTGCTCCACTGGTGGCAGCTGTGGTTCCAGCTGCTGCCAGCCCAGCTGCTGCCCAACTAGCTGCTGCCAGCCCAGCTGCTGCCCAACCAGCTGCTGCCAGCCCAGCTGCTGCCAGCCCAGCTGCTGCTCATCCGGCTGCGGTGGGTCTGGCTCTGGCATTGGAGGTGGCCAGGGGGGAAGCGGTGGAGCTATGACCTGCCGCGTCAGGTGGTGCCGCCCTGACTGCCGCGTGGAGGACACTTGCCTGCCCCCCTGCTGTGTGGCCAGCTGCACCCCCCCAACCTGCTGCCAGCTGCACCATGCCCAGGCCTCCTGCTGCCGCCCATCCTACTGTGGCCAGTCCTGCTGCCGCCCAGCCTGCTGCTGCTGCCGCTGCCCAACTGGCTTCTGTGAGCCCAGCTGCTGTTGATCCCACCTGCTGCCAGTCCTTCTACCACCAGCCCATCTGCCATTACCCCGCCTGTTGAAAACCTCAATGTAATTGGAACCCTGAGGAACAAAGCACGTTAAAGCCAACTGTTGCAGAATCAGATGAACTGCTGAGCTCCAATAACCACAGTCTGACTTGCAGCATCTTTTCATGCAGTTACATAAATTTTCCTAAGAAATAAAGTTGATTCTTAATAGATTTCAAACATAGTTCGTGGACCTAGATATCAACTGATGCCTTACAATGGAAATAGAAATCTGAAATATTCCACTATAAATATCATCACAAGTTTTTTCAACAGCTGATGGCAGTTTGGCATTAATAAAAAAATTATTCTTCAGTGATGAAACCATTGTTGCCTTTTTTTCCCCCCTTAGACTTTTAAAAATCGCTATTGGAGTACTGGGAATTTTCAAACCTCAATAAATGTGACCTGAGCCTGTGGTGTTTCTTTGCTATTTGATCATGACCATCCTGTTGTTCATCAATTGCCTCAAGCAGGCCCCAGTAACGTCTCCTTCGTCCTAGCCCTGAGTATTTTTTTAAAGTGCCATATTAAAAGCTCTTTCAGGGTTAGGAGAATGAGACCCATCATTGTTACTGGTATTTGGCATATTGGGTACACCACGGAGAGTTTGCCAGACTCTGCCGTGTGGGCAGGATACATTTGGTAGCCTGCCATTTTGTCCAACCTTTGCTATTAAGGTTTTGATAATGATTTTTTTTTTTTTTGCTTTTTGGGTAACACCCAGCGATGCTCAGGGGTTACTCCTGGCTCATGCACTCAGGAATTGCTCCTGGCAGTGCTCGGGGGGCCATATGGGATGCTGGGAATTGAACCTGTGTTGGTCATGTTGGTTGCGTGCAAGGCAAACGCCTTACTTGCTGTGCTATCACTCCATCCCCGATAATGATTTTTTATATAAAGGTAAAGGTAAAGGCCCTCCCGTTGATCGTCGATTTGCTCGAGCGGGCCCAGTAACGTCTCCGTTGGAGACTTTGTTGTTACTGTGTCTGGCATATCGAATACTCTCGGTAGCTTGCCGGGCTCTCCGAGAGGGGCGGAGGAATCGAACTCGGGTCGGCCATGTTGGCCGCTTGTAAGGCGAACGCCCTACCCGCTGTGTTAAATTTATTTATTGAATCACCGTGAGAGCAGTTACAAAGCTTTTGGGTTTAAGTCTCAGTCATACAATGATGAAACACCCGTCCCTTCACAAGTGCACATTTTCCACCACCAAAAACCCCAGTATAACCTCCATCCCACACCCTCCCCCTACCTGTGTGGCAGATGATATCCACATTACTCTCACTCTACTTTGACTACATTCAGTATTTCAACATCAGACCCATTATTATTATTTGGAATTTAACCTTAACACTCAGACCTGCCAAAAAGGCAGCATTAGACTATTTGTTTTCTATTGCTGATTATGAATAGTATATGATGTCATGCAGCTGCTATTGTGGCTGCGTGATTTTGGAATTTTGAAATTTTAGTAATTAAATCTGGAGGGATTTCTGCCAAAAGCTACGGGGTCTGATATTTGTTTCTGAGTCCCTTAATGACCATTAAGCAGCTTGATCAGTTGCCAGAGCGGTTGTTCGTGGGCAGTGACTCGGAAGTCTCATTGGGACGGGGGAGGAAAGGGCTGGCTCCACCCCTATCCTATGAGGCCCCATGTGTCTTATCACTGCGGGATCCCTACCTGACTGTCCATTGGCCTCTGGAAGATGGCGGCAACTGAGCTGCTGGGAGAACAGGCGAAGGGACAGCACCTTTTCCCACCTGGGGTGGCCCAGTGCTGGAAACCTAATCCGAAGTCTAAATACGTTTCTGCCAAAAGCCGCTGGGTTCTGAGATTTTTTTTCTGAGTCACTGGGATCATGGCCATTAAGCAGTTTGATCAGTAGCCAGAGGGGTCTATTGATGAGAAAATTATTTAACTAACTACTCCAGAAGATCAATTTTACAAGAAAGGAGTTCTATGCTAGTTAGCTTCATGAGCATTGCCAAGTTCATTAAAATTTTTATGTGTTTCTGTGTATAATTCTTTCAATTGTTCAGGATATTAAGAGTGTAACATATAACTAGAAAGACACCAAGCATGAGATTGTACAGTACAAGTGTATATATATATATATATAGAGAGAGAGAGAGAGAGAGATGCTATACAGATATATGTCTGTAAAGACATCTTGACCTCTACTTACTACTTTGTATCTAAAAATTTATGAATTCTGAGCCAAATATCTTCATGGTCCTACCACCTACTTCTAACCTGTAAGGTCAACAACTGAGTTTCCTTACTTACATTGTCCCTTCCAGATAAAGAGTAGGTCATTCTCTAAACTGACACTGACAATCGGTCCCCATGGATGTTTGCAGGTTAAAGAAATTCAAGTCAAATAATGTTACATACATTAATGCCATCCTGAAGATTCATAGAGAACGTTATAATAGCCATGATACTGAAATGTTCTGTAATAAAGGATTCTTTATAACCATCATTCTTAAACAAATTTAATCCTCTATCCATTACCAACTAACGTTTGATTACACCCGGGCTCCTCAAAAAGTGCTACATAAAGGAAATTTTGACTAATGTGCTTATGATACCTACATAATTCTCTCATGTACTATGAAATAGAGAATATATGTCCAGTGCGGGGATATGAATGAGTATCTAATTTGCATAAAAAGGTAATTAAATCTGGACACCTTTGGCTAGACATAATCTGAGTACTACCAAGTTTACTGCTCTTCTAGAATCTTTGTGAGAAGAAAGGTAAATTTCTTTCCCTGAGGGGACAGGGTTCTCAATGGGACACAACATGTACATTCACAAACAATAACTCCAATTTCCTCATACACAACTCTCTTTTCTCCTATCAATTTGGGAAGATTTATACTAGATAGACATTTTACTTAGCAGGAAATCAGTTAATAAACATTGAATGAAAAAGTCATGATGACATTCAGGGGACAAGAGAAATACCTTGTTACTTGGGTTAGGATAAATAGCTGAGTTGAGAGCAAGTGTTTCGATTTTATCATTGCATTTTTAATAAAAATGCTTAAAAAGCGGTCTTCCTTTGTTTGGATCCTAAATGTTTAATATGCTGAGTCCAAAATATATATATATATGTGTTTAAGATGTCCAGCTATTGCCAATGGAGACGTTACTGGGTCCGCTGGAGCAAATCGATGAACAACGGGAGAACAGTGACAGCGACAGTGAAAATGTCCAGCAAAGGTTACTAGCTTGGAATTTCAGAACAGAAACAGAAATTAGAAGGGAAAAATTGTGTGTTCATTTGGCTGGTAATTAACCATGTCTTATCTCAGTAATCTAGTAAGGCAAATGCATATGATTAGCAACTGTTAAAACTGAGTTTCAGGAATTTAGAAAATTCCTAAAACTTGTAACTAGAAAGTTTTGATGAAATAGAAAGTTATATGATGAAGAATAGCTGAGATCAGCACCAGGAGGATTACTCCATAACTTAGAGGCCAGCCGGGTATCCTAGAGGAAAGGGCAGTTCAGATAGAGAAGGGAGCACCAAATAAAGGATGTTTGGAGGATCCTCCCAGGAGGGGAGATGCATGTCGAAAGTAGACTATGGACTGAACATGTTTGCCACTCAATGCCTCTTTTGCAGACCACAACACCCAAAAGAAGAGAGAGAACACAGGGGATTGCCCTGCCACAGAGACAGGGGGGATGGGGGGATGGGGGTGGGAGGGATATTATCCATGGTGGTGGAAAATGGGCACTGGTGGAGGGATGGGTATCTGATCATTGTATAATTGAAACCAAAGCACAAAAAATTGTAAATCTACAACATTAAAAAAAATAAAATAAAATAAAATAAAGGGGGAAAAAAAAGAAAGAAAAATAACTCAGAATGTTAGTATTTGTAAATAGAAGGTAACCAGTCATTGAAATAAAAACTCTCTAAGAGAATGATTTTTAAAAAATATTTTAATGTAATGCTACTGAATTTTCCCCCTAAAGAGTATAATAGAAAATGTAATTTATATTTAAACAAAATTAAAAATAAACCCAGGGAGACATCACAAATAATTACAAATTCTTACTGTTTTGGTATGAGAACTAAACAAGAGATGTAGTTATGTTTTAGGAAGAATGATTGTGATTAAACTTTATTTTCTTGATTAATTTAGGAAAATTAAGGGGATGTTTGACTAGTCTTCATTCTGTGTCAGAAGAGGAGGATTCTTTGGTGTCACACCTCACTTGATGATTAGCTTTAAATTTCAGCTTGACCAGTGAAAGGATGCACAGATCATTGGTACTTTACTTCTGGGTGATTCTGTGAGGCTGTTTCTGGAAGAGATCAGCATTTGAGTCAGCAGATTGAGCAAGAAGTTCACCCTCACCCATGCACCAGTGAATCCATTGAGGCCTAAAGAGATCAAGAGGCAGAGAAGAGCCATTTTGGTCTATTTACAGGGCTGAGTCATCCATCCTTTCCTGGCCTTATATTGGGTCTTATATTGGGACTTACCCCATAGGCTTCTCTGGTTCTCAAGCCCTCAAGTTTAGAATAGAATGAAACCACCCACATTCTTGGGACCTTCAGCCCATAGTCAATAGATTCTGGAACTTCTAAGCTTCCATAATTGCATGAGTCAACTAATGATAATAAATTCCTTTGTGGGAAACAGATTTATATCTCTGGATGACCCTGGTCAATACATCTTAAAAATTCTCTAAGGGAAACTACAGACAAGAAGCATAAATACTGAGCTAAATTTTGCCCATAGGGGGATGTTGAAAATTGTCACAGTAGTAAAAGTACAGAAATGAAGAACTTGGGCCAGATAAATGGCTCACAGGGCAGGAGCCCCAGGTTCAATATTCAAATCAGGAGTGAGTTCCAAAGAAGGAGTCACATCAGCCTTGCTAGGTGTGAACCGAAAACCAAAAGAAGATGGAAGCAAAAATAAAATGAAGCGCTGACGTGCAGTGCTATTCTCAGCAACTGGCTCAACTATACGTATTTCAAATGCTCAAACATTGGCATTTTCTGCAGGGTTAGATAGTCTTTTTGGTATTAAAGATGCTGCCGGATTTAATAACTCCTGAGAGTATGATAGTAACAAATTCATATTTTTCAAACATACAGTATATTGCTCGCTTTTAGCTCTATCTTTATTCTCTTTACTCTAAAAATGTTTTAAAAAAAAAACTGGATACATTTTCACAATTGCTTTCTTCCTTTGATTTTTACTCTAGAGTAACTTCTATCAGAAAAAGGCATTTGACTATGGAGGTTAAAAGAGTTTAGTCTAAAATCAGATGTGGGTTAAATGTTCAGATTTACCACTTGTTAGTGTAAATTTGGAAAAAGTAAATATGTTTTTAGCTCAGTTTCCTAATATTTATTATGAAATGGCAGCGTTACATATCTCAAAGAATTTCTGGGCAAAAATTAATGAAGTAGTTCATGAAAAATATCAGAACTGCCTTGGTACATTATAGGTGCTCCAAAACTGTTATCAGTAACACTTCATCCACATTTCCCAGCCCTGAATAAAGCCGCCCTTTCTAGCCAACACAATCTAGTCTGACCTCATGGTCAAAGCAAAGATCAGAGAGGCAGCAATCAACATTCATGGTCATATGGCTGGAAAATAAGCTGCCCGGTAAGACCCAAGAGCTCAATTATAAGGACCAACATTGAGTATTAACACTACTTACAAGTGAGACATCAACCAATTATTTTTGGGGCAATGAAAATTTGTTAGAAACATGGGAACTTAGGGGTGATGAGCCTAAGGAAGACTAATCACTACTTGAAAACTAATGACTACTTGAGTTCTTTACCCTTCCTTTTGGGGTAAAGAACCTAATTGTAGAACAAATAAAATTAACTTCTAAAGGCTTCCAAGGGTTGAACAAATGACTTGGGGATGGGCCAATTATCATTTGGAGATGAGTTCTTTCAACACAAACAAGGAAGGGCCTTTGGAAAGTATGTAAACAGCAGCTGACACAGACTTATAAAAGGCCCAATATGCAAGTCTTACCAAAACTCCAAAACTTCTCCAAGAAACTCAGCTCTCAAATTCCTGACACCATGGCCTGCTGCACCACCAGCTTCTGTGGGCTCCCCAGCTGCACCACCACTGGAACCTGTGTCTCCAACTGCAGTAAGCCTGCTTGCTCTCCGACCAGCTGCTGTAAGCCCACCTGCTGTATAACCAGCTGCGGTAAGCCTGCCTGCTGCACAGCCAGCTGTAGCACTGGTGGAAGTGCTGGCAGTGGCCAGAAGGGTGGCTTAGGAGCTGCCTGCTGCCGTACCAGGTGGTACCGCCCTGACTGCTGCGTCAACTTCACCTGCCTGCCCCCCTGCCGTGTGGCCAGTTGCACCCCCCCAACATGCTGCCAGCTGCATTATGTCCAGTACTCTTGCTGCCGCCCATCCTACTGTGGACAGTCCTGCTGCCGCCCAGCCTGCTGCAAGCCTACCAGCTCTCAGCCCAGCTGCTCCCAGCCCAGCTGCACCAAACCCAGCTGCACAGATTCCAAAACCTCCCAGCCCATCTGCTCCCAACCCACTGACTCCAAGCCCAGCTGCTCCCAACCCACTGACTCCAAGCCCAGCTGCTCCCAACCCACTGACTCCAAGCCCAGCTGCTCCCAACCCACTGACTCCAAGCCTAGTTGCTCCCAGCCTACTTGTTCTAAGCCCAGCTGCTCCCAGCCCACTTGTTCCCAGCCTGACTGCTCCCAGCCCACCAGCAATGAGCCAGCTGCTAAAAGCTAAACCGATTAACTTTAAGTTGTCAAGATTTTAACTCGTAGCTCAATCCATGAACTATCACTTTAGCCATCCCTGGATCACTAACAAGACCTTCAATTTTCACTTGACTTTTGGGGAAGTCACCAAATATTTGCACCTCACAGACCTATCAGATTCCATTCAATACTAGAAAGTCCTTACTTGCTCTCTCCAGAAAGGCCACTAAAATAAAAATTTGACCCAAGAACTAGCAAAATCAGTTTTTCCCTGACAGCATTCAATAGGCATCTGATCCTACTCTTCATGGCTCAGTGCTCCCAGTGTCTTAGAAGGGCCATTTGTCTATCTCCGATACAATCGCTGCCTATACTCCACCTTTCTGCAGATCAAACTTCCAATGAAAGGAGAATAATAAATAAAGAGCCAATAAAAGGTAGATACTTGGTTCAACGAACAGCTTTCTTTTCTTCATTGAGTGTGTTCATGATGATGTCTCACACTTATCCTTTTCAACCATGGTAGGACATTTGATCTGGTCCAGTGGAAATGAATCCACATTTGAAATATACAGTATAGGTGACTTTAGAAGCCGCAGGAACCCCAGAGGTGGTGCAGTTCTATGATCACATCCAGACCTCACACTGCTCTCACAACCAGAAGTTTCTATAAGTGTCAGGATCTCTGAACTAGAGGGAGAATAGGACTTAGTTTTCCATATTCGTTAGAGTGATGTTGTTTTGTTTTTATTTGGTGGTGGGGGAGGGGCATCTCTGGTTGTGTTTGGACTTACTCTTAGCACTGTGCTCAAATGACTCCTGGAAAGACTTGGGGGACCATATGGGGTGCTGGAGATCAAACCAGTGTCAGCGACATGAAGGCAAGTGTCTTATCCCCTATACTATCTCTCCAGCCCAAGAGTAATGCTCTTTCAGGGAATTTTATATAATGATAGTGAATACTAATAAATCCCCTACTTCACACATTGTCTTGTAGAGTTAGAGATTTGCTTGTCCTCCCATTGTTCATCAATTTGCTCGAGCAGGCCCAGTAACGTCTCCATTGGAGACTTTGTTGTTACTGTGTCTGGCATATCGAATACGTCATGGGGAGCTTGCCAGGCTCTGCCGTGCAGGCGAGATACTCTTGGTAGCTTGCCGGGCTTTCCGAGAGGGGCGGAGGAATCGAACTCGGGTCAGTCATGTTGGTTGCGTGCAAGGCAAACGCCCTTCTGCTGTGCTATCGCTCCAGTCCGTCTTGTAGAGTAAACCCAAATAATTTTAACTTGAAGATCATGATAAGAAATTATCTTTTAATTAGTATTAGACATAGGACTCCTTTAGATGAAGGATATTTTAAAAAGTATCTTTCTAAGGGCTGGAGAGATAATACAGGAGGTAAGGCATTTGCCTTGCATGCCTCCAACCCTGTTTCAATCCTTAGCACTGCATATAGTTCCCTGAGCACATGAGTTACCAAAAAAAAAAAAAAAGAAAGAAAAACAAAGCCAGGAATAACCTCTGAGCACTGCCAAGGTGTTTCTCCAAAACAAAAACAAAAATTTTAATATATTTCCAGATTCTAAACTGGAAGTAAGGATAATAAATATTTTGTTCTATTTTTAATGAACATGGTTTTAAATGTCTTTGTTGGTTGTGGATGGGGGTTCCCAAGTGATGTTTAGGGATCTTGAGGGCTATGTCTAGCAATTATTGTCCCACTGGGCTGGATGGTTCAGTGGTAGGACCAATGATAGACTAGTGCTTGGGGGTCTCCAGGGCCAAACACAGTGATGTCAGGGACTAGGAATCAACCTGGATTGGATGCATGCACGGCATGCATCTTAATCCCCATTACAATAATTAGTTTTGAATGTTTACTTAACAAACACATTTATACTCATGTTTGTTTATTATATACAATGAGTTTATATATAAATTTTATATAGTAACACTGTCCTCCCATTGTTCATTGGTTTGCTCGAGCAGGCACCAGTAACATCTCCATTGTGAAACTTGTTACTGTTTTTGGCATATTGAATATGCCACAGTAGCTTGCCAGGCTCTGCCGGGCGGGATCCTCTCAGTAGCTTGCCATGCTCTCCAAGAGGGACGGAGGAATCATATAAACTATATAATGAATTTATATAAATGTAAACAATATCTTGGAATGCTCCCTAAATTTGCATGATTCTTAAAAGAAAACTGGTTAATTCCTAGATTTGGAGGACTTAAAACCAGAGACACAAAGAATACTTTCTTATTAAGTAGAATTAGTTAAAATTATAATACTATATATTGTGATATTTTATTTGCATGATGAGAAAAGTAAGAAAGCATGGATAAAGGATAAAATTTAAGCAAAGATCAGTTTTTCTAACATGTCCTTAAACAATGCTTTTGTTCCTTTATGCTTTCCTACCATTATCTCCTGTTGAGAAGAATATATATATATATATACATATATATACAATAAGATAACAAATCATGATCACAATCATCCTGTTGTTGCCTCGAGCAGGCACCAGTAACATCTCCTTCTTCCTAGCCCTGAGATTTTAAAAGAGCCATATTCAATGCTCTTTTAGGGTTAGGAGAATGAGACCATCATTGTTACTGGTATTTGGCATATTGAGTACGACAAGGGAAGTTTGCCAGACTCTGCCGTGCGGGCAGGATACTTTCGGTAGCCTGCCGGTTTCTCCAAAGGAAAAACGAGATAATAAGATGTCCGGGAGCTGGGTTTTATAGCCTCTGTGTCTTGGCTGTTGATGGGACCAACCTGGCGCTGGCGGCAGCTGGTGGGTGTAATGCCTACCTACTGGAAGATGGGGGGATCTGGGTGGAGAAGGCCCAGTCCCAGTCTGAGCAGGCTTGGAGATCTCAGCCCCGGGACCCACTTGCCTGGGTTCCTCTGCCAGAGTCTCCTGCCCCCACGCCTGGCTGTCCTCACCGGGGCCCCTTGAAGGGAGGTGGGTTGAGTTTCCCTCCCTCTCCCCTCCCAGCAGAACCCCAGCAGCCGAAGACCTCCAGAACCAGCCACAGCCATGCTGAGACCACTCTCCACACATCCGGACAAGCCTCATGCATGAAGGAACTGGCAGAGGAACCCAAGATAACAAATAATTCTTATAAAATGCAGTCAGGTGTTTATTGTTACCTAACACAGCTTATCCTTTATTCCCACCCCCACCCTTTTTTTTTTTTTTTTTGCTCACCATTTACTGAGAGTCTACATGGGAGATGGTGTAGAGGCACTAGACCAGGTTAACCCTGCCAGGCACACCATCTCCTTAAGGAAGAAATGATCAGGTAGAACAATGGATGACTTTAACATTGGGGGAATGGCTGAGCAATCATCTTATTTTTAAGATGAACAAACCAATGTTCAAAGGAATTCAGTGACTTAGGTTGTACAGTCACTTAAAGGTAGAACCAGTTTGAGAAGCTTATTGACTTAATTGACTTAGTACTCAGTTAAGAATATTTTGCCCCTACATCATATGATGATTCACAATCACCAAAAACTATACCCACTTAAAGTTCCTTCAGCTTAAAATTCTGTGATTTAAAAAAACAATTCGAAGTCACACACTAAAAACTATTAAAGATTTAGCCACGGAGGGGGGCCGGGGGGTGACTTTACACTGTGTGTTATGGTCATACTCCAGAATATTACACAGGGGTCAAGGAATGGGCGATATTCATAGGATAGGCAACAAGTTGATAACCTAAATTAAGTGAATAAGTTCATAGAAACACACAACCTTTCATAAACTAAATCATGAAAACATGGAAAATCTGAGAGCATCTATAATTAACAAGGAGATTGAGTCAGTGATAATATTTTTAAAGCCCTCTCAACAACAACAAAAAACCCTTCCAATACCAGATTTTACTGGTGAATTATATCAGACATTTAATGAAAAATTAACACAGAACCTCCTCAAACTCTTTCCAAAAGTTTGAAGAGAGAGTCACATTTCCAGGGGCTGGAGCAAAAGTATAGTGGGTACGGCATTTGTACGTGGACAATCAGCATGATCCCTGGCACCTCATATGGTTCACTGAACACTACCAGGAGTAATTACTGAGTGCAGAGCCAGGAGTAAACCCTGTACACTGCTGATTGTGGACCAAACCCTCACCCCTACTCTATTCCCTCCACCCATAAAGAAAGTCACACTTCCAAACAAATTCCATGAGGTCTGTATTATCTATATATCAAAGCTGGACAAAGACAGATGCTACAAGAAAATGATATTACGGGCCAATAACCCTGGTAAAGAGTCATGAATGTACATTTTTTTCCATGAAGATCTAGAGAGATACAAACTAGAACTTGAACAGATTCTCAATATCATCAATTTTTATCATCGTGCAAATCAAAGCTACAATGGCATACTATAACCTCCCATCCATTGCAATATACACTCTTAAAAAAACTAAAAACACATGACAAGGATATGTAAAAACTAGAACTTTGATATACCATTGGTGAGAAAATAAAATGGTATAGTAGATGCTATGGGAAAATCATTGCAGTACTCAAAGAAATAGAATTGCCATTAGATCCAGTAATTCCACTTCTAGGTGTATTCCCCAAAGAACTGAAGGCATGTCTTTGAAGATATATTTCTACAACCATATTTATGACAACATTGTTCACAATAGCTGAAAGTTGGAAGCAATCCACTGTCTATTAGTGTATGAACAAACTTTTATAAATGACATATATATTTTCATTTTTCATTTCATCATCCTGTTATTCGTCGATTGCCTCGAGCAGGCCCCAGTAACGTCTCTTTCATCCTAGCCCTGAGATTATATTCAAGGCTCTTTAGGAGAATGAGACCCATCATTGTGACTGGTATTTGGCATATTTGGTAGGCCACGGGGAGTTTGCCAGACTCTGCCCTGTGGGCAGGCTACATTCCATAGCCTGCAAGTTTGTCCAAAGTAGGAATGAGACAATAAGATGTCATTAAAAAAAAAGTTCTGATAAGATGTCGCACGGTCGCGAATGCGGCCGCGCGGTTCCGGGATCTGGATTTTATAGTCACTGACATATATCAGTGAAATATTATTCCTAAAAATAAATTATATATGTATACATACATATATGCAAATAATAGATATATGTCTATATTTATATGTATATAAGTATATATGTCACCAAATTTCTTATTTTATATATATCATATTTTATATATATATATATATCAGGGAGAAAGGTGTCAAAAAGTATTCACCAAATTGTTAATATTATCTTTGAGTAGCAGTTTAAGAAGTCATATGTGTTTTGCAGAAAAGAATAAATATTCAATTTCCTTTATATTTTGGTGTATTGTTGGACTTGTTGAAATATATAGGTACAACTAGAATATATTAGTTTAGATGAGCCATGAAAATAATCAATAGGCAAAGGTTATTAAGGGTTTCAATTGAGATTATTACATTGATGCCTGAAGACATTGATGATGGAAACCCAAGGATCCCATTAGCTGCATAAACTGATCATAGAACAGTGAACTTCACTTGGGTGTTGATTAATCAGATGATAGTTCATCAGATGTTTTTATTTTTCTTATAGCACAAATGTTAGCCATTCAAAGTTTGTACAATTTGTTTATGAACTTCAGTTGAGTGATCACTTAGGAAGAAAATATTCAGCTTAGATAAACTTTGCTATAGGTTATTAAAGGACAAGCATGACAACGTAAATCAGGGAAATGGTTGACCCAAGTCGAATCTGCCATGTGACTTGAATAAAGATGTGCCACTGTGATTGGCTTCTGTATGAGCCTTCACTTGATCCATGAGCAAAGAAGAAACAAAGTAAGAGTTAATTAAACAATGACCAAAGCTGGCTACTGAGATGCTATTTATAATTTTCTAAACAACTCAGATATCGGCCAATCAGAGATTGACTTAGCAAATGGTATCAAGGAAAGATGCTAAATGTTAAGGAAATACACAGGTCCAAGGGTTGTATAAAAGGACGGAGGCAAAAGGTTCAGCCAAAACTCAAAAACCTCTTTTAACCACCCAACTCTCAAATCAAGTCCTCGCACCATGGCCTGCTGCACCACTAGCTTCTGTGGATTCCCCAGCTGCTCCACTGGTGGCACCTGTGGCTCCAGCTGCTGCCAGCCCAGCTGCTGCCCATCTAGCTGCTGCCAGCCCAGCTGCTGCCCAACCAGCTGCTGCCAGCCCAGCTGCTGCCAGCCCAGCTGCTGCTCATCCGGCTGCTGTTCATCCGGTTGCTGTGGGTCTGGCTCTGGCATTGGTGGTGGCCAGGGGGGAAGCGGTGGAGCTATGACCTGCCGCGTCAGGTGGTGCCGCCCTGACTGCCGCGTGGAGGGTACCTGCCTGCCACCCTGCTGTGTGGCCAGCTGCACCCCCCCAACCTGCTGCCAGCTGCACCATGCCCAGGCCTCCTGCTGCCGCCCATCCTACTGTGGCCAGTCCTGCTGCCGCCCAGCCTGCTGCTGCTGCCGCTGCCCGACCAGCTTCTGTGAGCCCAGCTGCTGCCAGCCCAGCTGCTGTGAGCCCAGCTGCTGCCAGCCCAGCTGCTGTGAGCCCAGCTGCTGTGAGCCCAGCTGCTGTGAGCCCAGCTGCTGCTGTTGAGCCCACCTGTTAAAAGCAAGGTTGCTGCTTCCTTCAGAATGATAGAAAAAAATCACTGCAAAACTTCGTGGATCTCTGAGGAAGTCTTTAGTTTTACTTGGATCAAAAGTATCCAGTAGTTTACAAGCTGCTAAGAAATAAGAAAAGTCAAGAGAGTCTCTTCAATCATCTGAATTAGTTCACCAAGAACAACCCAGTAAGTCCAGCATCTGAGATTCAGCCTCGCAGGACGGAGTAGTTCTTCATTTTAGTGACATGTCTGATTTCCTCCCTACCTTTTGCTCCTGCTATTTCAAATAAAATATTTAAATGAGCAAAGAAAATGTGTTATTTTCATATTTTAAACTTCTTTTTAAAAATGTCCACCTTTGGTTGGAATAAAAAATATATTTGACAATAACCTTAAGGCATAAGTATAACTTCTAAACCTAAAGGATTTAGTACAACTTACACTATGCTTAAATTTAATAACATAATAAATGCTCCATGCACTAAATAATCTGTGTATTCAATATTTACCTACTCTAATCGATTCTAATGAAGCTTAGCAAAATAAAACCACTTTCAGTTATTTTCGGGTTCGTCTAAGCAATGAAATTTTTACCTAGTAAATTTTTACCAATTTTAAATACATTGCATCATGTCATGTTATGTTATGTATGCCCAATACCTAAAGAAATTGAATTACCTACCAAATAAACTTCAAAATGTCTATCTGATATTGTCAGATACTACTTCCAAGTATATTAAGCTTTCATTCATGTGCATTCGTCTAGTATATTATTCCTACTGGTCCCAAAATTCTTCTCTAAGCTTCAACTCCCAACAGTGCTGTCTGTTTATTATATATGAAAGGGGTATCTCACATTTAAAGAAGTAGAGCAAACAACCTTGGCAATATCCAAAGGAGCCTACCAACAGCATTTTCCTGACTCAGAGTTCTAACATTAGATATTTGGAATGCTTAAATATTTTGGAAAAATTTGCAATTTTGTTCCTTGAAATCCAATTGAAAGGTGTTTGCTTAAGAAGTTAACAAAAGAACAAAAATTATTTCTTGCCACTTAATTTTTCAGTAACTATTTGAATGTGAAGTAGAAATTACCAAATAAAAATATATAGGACTATTGAAGAAAATTATTTTTCAATTATTTAAAGACTTTTAGTTCTTACCTTTATTATTTAATTGCTGGCAGTAATAGTTCACATGCATTGCAGTTCAGAGAAGAATAAAGTGCTATCCACAACCTCTTCAAATGGCCATAATTCCAAGTTGTTTTTTCATGAGTCTAATCCAACTACTGAATGTGGAAAAAATATTTCTACCTTTTCCTAGCTTCTCTTGAAGAAGAGCTCCTTCATGAAAGGTTCTAGACTGCACCTTGAACATTCTATTTAATCATTAATAAGAGCTCAGGCGTCCATGAATCATGCTTTTTACTCCACCCATTTAAATCAGATTCAATAAGCATTTATAAGGTTATACCAGAAGCTAAGAACTTTGCTGGGTATCTTTATATATTCTCTGTCCCTTAGTTCAAACACACAAAGGGATCTTTTTGCCTGAAACACTATATATTCTCACATATTTTGAATTGATTGAAATCAAAGGAACAAATAATCATTTGATTTGATGTTTGAGTAAATGAGTTGGAAGCTTGGGGTGGGAGGAGGGGCACATTTGTCAGTGCTCAGGGCTTACTCCTGGCTTTGTGGTTATGGATCACTCCTGGCAGTGACTGGGGACCCTGTGTGCTACCAGAGATCTAATGTAAACCCTGTTTTATCTCTCCATCCTGAGTTGGAAGCTTTTACTTACAGACGATCAAAGTTATTCTTCCAATTCTTGGATGTCCTGATTCCCTAAGTCCAAAAGGATTCTCTATATTCAAAACAGAAAAAAAAAACTTAAAAATAAGAGCACAATTGCCTTTGCCTTCGCTTTTCACGCAAAAGGCTATGTGTAGTAACTACCTACACAAAATGAGGGTGCTGACGTGGACTAAAATGGGAGATGCTTTGAACATGGGAAACCACAAACATATTCCAAAGAGCAAAGGACTGACATGAGGAGTCTCTGTCAAACTATAAAACAACGTCATTTCTAAACGCTTGCCCATGTGTCATAAGTACTTCAATGTAAGCCAATCAGAAAACCACTAAAGAAAAAATTTAAACCAAAAACAAGGAAAATATGTGAAGAATTTTATAAATTGCAGCTGGCCCAGATATATAAAAGGCCCAACGTGGAAGACACCACCAAAACTCAGGAACTCCTTCAAGCAGCTCAGCTCCCAGCTCAACTCCTGACACCATGGCCTGTTGTACCACTAGCTTCTGTGGATTCCCCAGCTGCTCCACTGGTGGCACCTGTGGCTCCAGCTGCTGCCAGCCCAGCTGCTGCCCATCTAGCTGCTGCCAGCCCAGCTGCTGCTCATCCGGCTGCGGTGGGTCTGGCTCTGGCATTGGTGGTGGCCAGGGGGGAAGCGGTGGAGCTATGACCTGCCGCGTCAGATGGTGCCGCCCTGACTGCCGTGTGGAGAGTACCTGCCTGCCCCCCTGCTGTGTGGCCAGCTGCACCCCCCCAACCTGCTGCCAGCTGCACCATGCCCAGGCCTCCTGCTGCCGCCCATCCTACTGTGGCCAGTCCTGCTGCCGCCCAGCCTGCTGCTGCTGCCGCTGCCCGACTGGCTTCTGTGAGCCCAGCTGCTAAAGCCATGCTGCTAATTTTTAGTTGCCCAGGACACAGTGGCTCTGAATAAGTTATTTCTTTAACCACCTCTGGGCCACTAGCAAGTTTTTAGACTTCCATTTGATTTCATGTTATGAGGATCATTAAATACAGGAAGTTTATCTTTATGATTTTGTTCTATAGTGAATCCTTTGTTCCCCTGCTACAGGCATAGGGATGCTGCAAATCCACCTGCTGATTGTGAAATTGCAGTAGCTGTACTCTTGTTTCCCCCCTTTTTCTGAAGAGCCGGAAATCACTGTCATGTCATGGAATTTATCCTTCAGAACCATTATCTGAACTTTTCCCTGTTCATGATCTATTTTAAGGTTTTGTTTACCTGAACATTTTTTTCCAACATCAAAGGCACCAGAGTCTAGTCATTCTTCAGATGTTTGCTGAAGATAATAGAAGCTCTTCAACATTCAGGTTCTTAAAATTAGGTTTGATTTTTCCACATTTTTAACATCTGATTCCATCCCTGCTTGTTTTTAAATAATAATCTTGCCTGTTGGCTATTTTAATTATATTTCTGATTGAGTGTTTCTATCCTATCTTATTAAATGTTATATACTGGACAAATAAATGATGGTTTCTGTTTTCATTGGCTCATCAAATGGATTTTCTACTTATAATTTAAGGATAACTCCCTATGGACTGTAGTGGAGGAATATTGACACTTCAGTGTTGGGTTTGGTGGTAATCGTTATACACCAAAAATTTATAAATATATAGACTCTTATAAGCTAATCATATTTCCTCAACAAGTGAAGTTTCCAGTTTTACAATGAGAAAAAAATGACTATTAAAAGTGTATGAAAATAGCTATGTACAATGTGATGGGATATTTCTTCAGTAGCTGGCAGAATTCCTCTTAAGGCTATAGATCCTTGAGTCAATTTCAATTTGCCTTAATAACTCAGCTGGCACAATAGGTATATCCCCAAAGGATATGCATATCAACAACCCCAAAGGTCTCAGAAAAGCCTGTGAAATATTTACATCTGAGACAAGGAGAGAACAGTGCAGAGTTACCAAATCACCCAATCTTTGGGATGGGCTACTTTCCTGTGAAGACCAGTGAATGTCTGGGTGTCATGTCTACATTGATTCAAAGGAACATGGCGCAGGAGCCAGAGAACAGGGAGAAGGATCAGAAAGCAAAGCCTTAAGAATTTGCAGAGGTTGCAGAGAGTTTTAGGATGGTTACTGCTGTGGTCAGTAGAGCCTTGTTTATATGACTCTGAGGAAGACAGAAGGACTATTAACAGGTTTTTGAAAAGGAAGAGTTCATATCAGGACTAGCTGGCAACATCAGAGGAGGCTTAATAGTAAGGGAATGTTTGAAGTAGGTCTTCAAGGTTACTCGTAATGAAAGGGAAAGCGTAGGTAGAAAGGAATCCGACTACACTTCTATTTGAATGACGAAAATCCAAAGCAATCACGATGCTGAAAGAGGAAGCCTGCTTTCCCTTGCCAACTGCTGTGAGCAGCTTCATTTTTCACAGCTACCATCATACATATTTTTTTACTTCCTGTGACTTCCTGGACTCTTTCTGATAAACAGCAGTTAACAATTGTCCAACAGCATAAAATTCTGCCCCAGAGCTTAGGCTCACTGGGAGGTTAAGACCTAAGACAAATGGCCAGATTTGATTCTTGCTGTTTGATTCTTGCTGAAGCAGAAGGTAGATAGAGAATCCCCCACTCCCCACTCCACCCCCAATCCCCATGCAACCCAGCAATGAGTTCTTGGGAAATAATAAAACCAACTATTTCTCAGGCTGTCAGGACCCACCTTGTGAACACAGGAACTAAGGCCTGATAAGACTTTTACTTGGAGCCTGCAGAGACCAGAGAAGACTGGACCCCCTCAGAGAGAAGCTCTAAAAGGAACAAAGGTTAGGAAAGGAATATCCAAGACCATCAGCCACATCTACCCCATTGGCAACCACCCTAGCAATTGACTCTTACCTAGGTAGACAGGCCCAGGTGGGGCAGCTTGGGATAAACCCTATAAAAGCCAACCTGAACAAAGGAAGCAAAAGCATGTGCAGTCCAAACTCATGTGCTGCTTGTTCCCATGTGGCCAAGCAAATGTGTTGCGTGCATCTCCCCTCTTGAGATATGAACTTTCATATCTAATGCTGGGATGTGTAGTGGGACTCCCCCTCCACTCTGGAGAAGTCCATGTTGTCTCTTTGATGTAGGCAGGATAGGGAAGGCCCCTTCCCAAAGAAATGGCAAAGGTTTCATGGGAATAAATAGC